ACAAAATTTAATAAAAAGATTTTTCTTTAATCATTAATACATGTTTGGTTTCAATATGTTTATTTAAAATATGAATAAAGCAAGTTAGTCAAACGGAAAAATCCATTAATACATCATTTCTATCGACCAATATTTTTACGTTTATATTATAAATACAAAACATATAACTTATATCACTAACCAAAATTAAACAAAAAAATTATTTTCCATTTATCAATCACAAACAAAGCAAAAAAATATCATCAAGTTATATTACTTATACAACGTATATAATAGATGTGAATGTGAGCCTAACCATAAAAGTGAAACATAAAAGTTTACGTACATACTAAACCAAAAATACAAATACAATACAAATTGATATGGTACTATGACAAATCATTGAAAACCATGTTTGGTTTGTTTTAATTGTTTGTTTTGGATATTAGTTTAAACTTTTATTTTGAATTTCAAGAAGAGATTGAGGTGTTTGAGTTTTAATTTTGAGTTAAAAACTATGACTCAAATTGGATTTTTAAAATTTAATATTTTGATGTGCCATTGATGTTTTCAATTTGATTTGGATTGAAAAAAGACTTTAGACGAGAGTTTCCTTTCGATTCACATAAGTTTTGTATACTAAATATTTGAGGTAGTTAAAACCCGTTTCTTTAGTCCTGGTTAATGTATTCGCGTTTGATATGTGTACACAACAAAGCCTTAGACGAGAGCTTGCTTCTAATACACATTAGTTTTGTTTAATTCATGTCTTGTGTTTCAATATTATACTTTTTTTTTTACGTTGTAGCAAGATTATCATAACCCGCGGGCTGATCCGTTAGCCCGTTTGCCCAAGTAATATGGGCATGGACATATATTTCGAACCCGTGACGGGACCAGCCCATATGGGTTGAAAAAAAATTGTATCCATTACAGGTTTAGCTACTTGGACGCGGGCTGGCCTGTCTGACATCTATATTTGCAAACAGCAACTTGACATGGGCTTCGTTTTGGAAATCATTAATAGAGTTTGGGCCAAAACAACTTCAAAAATAAGCTCCACTTGCACTACATATACAACACGAAACAGAGAGATATTGGGCCCAAATTACGATCTAATGGCATAGAAAGTAAATATGTAGGTTTTTCAGAGGGTATCTTTGTAATCAACCATTTTCAAATTGATGAGAGAATGTCACGTAGAATTTTTTACTTAAGATATAATATAATAGATAGATAGATTTGCT